CAGCTCCCGGCAAGCAGGGGCAAAGGGGAGACAAGCAGGAGAGAGACTCAGGGGTGCACTGTGGGCCCACCACAGTCCCAGACTGCACACCAGGGGGAGCTAGTCACATAGAGTATTGGGGTTCTTAGGGATTGGCTTGTTTTGACCTCATTTTGAAATGGGATTAGCTTGATTTTTGGCTTATTGGGAAAGTTGGGGTGCTTATTTACCACATGAAAGTTGGCAACTGTGCTAGAAAGGTTTTGCTTCAGTCCTCTCTGACCCTGCACTTCTACAAGAGTTTCCCTGTGACACCAACATCCCCCACCCCCAGATGAGCTGAGCAGGTTCCCTTTTATCTGCTTCCAAACCCATTACCTGGGAAGGCACCTGAGAAGGCACAGGTAGACTGAGTCCAACCCCCTTAAGGGGTCAGCCCACCCTGTGACACCCTCCTATACCACAAACACTTGCTCTAGCCATGTGTACATAGGCGGTGGAACTGCGGGTGCTATGGGTGCTGCTGCACGCTCTGACTTGAAGTGGTTTCCATCATATACAGGGTTTACAGTTTGGTTCAATGGCTTTCAGCACCCCCACTACACAAATTGTTCCAGCACTCCTGCATGTGTAGTAAAGAGTGATGGGGCACTGATGTTGAAATGTTTAATGTGGGCCTCAGTGGCTAATTGACACACCTGTTTTCACCCAGGGAATGGGCCAGGCCCAATTAATGATGAGTCCCAGCTGGGGGAAGAGCTGGGTAGTTTCTATAAAGGGAGGAAACCGAGAGTAGAAGGAGACTGCAGGGTGAGAAGAAAAAGAGTCTTTCTAGTCTTTTCCTGGATAATAGCAAAGGAATTTAGGGAAAAAGTTTACACCCTAGTTCTGATTTAAGATGGTAGCAGAAAATTCCTGAAGTGAGCCTGACGGAAGGCTAACCGACAGACAGATTGTAAGGCATAAAGCAGGATCCAGACGAGGAGCAAGTCTCCTGAGAGGTAATCCCTGAGAGTTAGTGTTCTGCAGTAGAATAGAGAGACAGGGTGGACTAAAATCCCAAGCATGAGGAAAGGGCCACAGTTGCTTTTGAATTTGGTTAAATGACTCCAGAAAGAATCCCTAGGGTCACTATTCTGACAGGAAGGTAGAACAGAAGAGGAGCCCTGGAGGGGCAGAAGATGTCCTATTGATGACCAGTGTCAAGTGGGGCACTGTCTGAGTGGGACACTGTTACCCTGAAAGGGGAAAGACTTTAAAGTGACCTGGCTGAAGGGCTGAGTCACATGGAGAGAGACTTCCCCAGGTCTGGATCTGCTGTTATCAGGGGTCACTAGATGAGGAAAGAAATGCTATGCCATGCCCACCTGTGAAGAGGTTTGCCTTCGGTGAGTGCATTTGCACTGAATCTAAATTGATCTAACTTGCATGCTGAGGTGCCAGAGGACAACAAAAGTGGGGATTATAGGTAACAGCTGCTCCTGCTCCACTGACTCTGAGATCACCATTGTGAACTGCAGTGTCTCATTTTAAGAAGCCATGTGCACCACTATGCAGCCAAGTGCTTCTCTGTATTCCTTGAGCACTAATGTTTTGCATTTTGCTCTCATAGGGGAGGCTGAAATGATAACAGGATATAGCACAGTACGAATCAATTCTCGTCAATGATTGATGAGACAGACTGACTTTAGTACTTGCGAGAAACTATGTCAAGGTCCTCCTCAAACACTGCTACGTAAGGCAAACAGTTCAATACAGAGGTTCTGCAATGATCCCAGTCCAGTAAGACCAGTCCGATCAACCTCATAACATCCTAGAAAATGAGGATTTCAGTCACCCTTTAACACAGTGAGTGAGCCCTTGCTGGCTAAGGGCCTGGGAACTGTACAGAAGTACTCCCTGCTGACGCTGTTTGCAAAAACAGCTGCTTCATGCTATCCTGCATCTGGACAAAAATAATAAGAAATCCATGCTGGGAAATAGCTAATCAGGAAAAAATTGTGTATATGGGTGTGAGAACAGTCTCATTTCCCAAACCGAATATGCCATAAATCATTAGCTATCTTAAAAATACAACAGAAGTCTTAAATCCAAAATCCATGTATTACAATGCACTTAATCTTTATGGCTCCAGTTCTGCAAATTTCTTAAGCATGTGCATAGTTACATAATATGGGTAATCCCAGCTTTAAGCAATGGGACTACAAGTACTTAAAGTTAAGCATGTGCTTCAGTGCCCTTGCTGAATCAGGGCTTAAAACGATGGATCTTTAGGTACCTGGTAGTGCCAGTCATTCTAAAGGTGTGTCTTTTTTGTTGTGAGCTGCTCACAATCGTTAATTAGACTAACAACTTTATTTGCACAACTCCCCTCAAATCCACTGAGTTATTTACGTTTGAAAAGCACATTTGCAGTTTGTGAGATAAAATTGCCATGTGTCCTTTAATGTAATATTCATATGTTCCCAATCCAGTATTGTATCTGTATCACTTAATTTTAGTAATATTACATTATGCTCATTGGTTATGGTGAAATATCCCTCAAATCCACCCCAATCTTTCAGCAGTGCTGTCCACAAAGTCATCCTAAGTAAACACCATCATAAAAACACTGTGTGTGTCTCTAGGTTTATTGCAAAAGCACATTTGCTTTCCTTGGGTCACACTGAATTTGCCAAATAGTATGCAACCTGGCCTACTGTTCGATAATCACTGTGACCGTATTACCCAGACAGAGGTCTTCTGGGTGCTCACAAGCTCAGCAGGATCAGATTATATTAGGACTGTAGTTGGATGAGAGATGATGACCAAGGTATAAGTAGATTGTTACCAAATTTATTGAAACTTTGACTCTCTCCTGTCTAAGTCAATGCTGAACCAACACCTAAGCCTCATTTTAGGGTGCGGTAAGAGATACTGTTTTGAGATGCAAAATCAAAAGTCTTGACCAATTGAAGATCTGCCTCCCTCCAAATACTCCCACTGTTTATGTTTTAGTTTGGGTAACTGCATTATATTGACTTAAATTCCATGTGCACTACCAATTGATTAGAACAATATTCTTCACTTCATCCCTAGGCTGTTGTTTAGCATAGTTATGCAATGTTAAAAAGGCTCTGCATTCTGTCTATCTAGTATTATTACTATTTAACACTTATCTTGTGGTAGCCCCTAGAGAGCAACCAGGCCAGCATCTCAGAGGCTGCATTTCAATGATGGGTGAAGCAATTCCAGCAAATTGGTAGGTTTTAAACATACTTTTGAAGTCTTCCAAATGGAAGGCGCTATACCTGGAAGCAGCTGTGTTTATTGTGTTGAAGTGTAATGAAGAGCCTATTGTAAAGCATACCTGCAAGAAACAAATTGCTGTGAGACCTTGAACTTCGATTCTTGTGTAGTTAAGAGGCTAATTGGCCAGTGTGTGCATGCAGTACTATTTTTGGTTTCAATACAAATATAAAAGCATCAATGTTTCAGGTACATGTGGCTTCCTTCAGTTTACAGTTACACAGGTGTGACAGATAGACAGCCATTCTGTTCTAGATGATTGTCTACCATGTAATGGTTGTGTTTGGCTTAAATGTCTGCTTTTCTCTTCCCTTAAATTAAAGGTAGACTGTGAATAGTGCATTTGTGGTTTGTTTTTTGTGTGTGCCATTTTTGAATATTATTGGATTTTCTTTCATGCTTAAAGCTTTAATTAAAATCACCTCTAGACTAATATGCCCAATGTGATAACTGATGTGTAATGTCAGTAACATGTCTGAGGATAATGATGATGATGGATGACAGACTGTTATAGAGAAAAAACAGCAGAGGAAAAAAGTTCAGTGGGAGGCTAGGTTTCTCTTTGCTTTAGTTACTGTGAAATAAAAGGCAATGTCAGTTAGACAGAAAGAAGAGAAAAGAACAAGGTGCCTTGGAAGATTTGAACATACCTCTTTCTCTCACATGCGAACAGTATAACCATTCGTCAGCTCTATGTATATATATTTATTGCATGTAGAGTTATTTATTGTATGCATTGTGGTACTGCCTAGGGGTAGGTCAATACTGCACGCTAAGCCTAGGGTCTGACTCAGGTTTGAGTTCAAGCTCCGCTTCTCTCCTCACATAAACCAGTCTGACTTGGTCAGCAAGCATCCGGGACTCAGGTCCTAGGCCACTGTGAAGGAGGTGGGTCAGAGCCCAGACTCCTGCTGTAATTTGGGTCCAAGCCCCGTCATTTTGCAGTGTGGCACAGCTCAAACCACAGACCTGAATCAAAAGGTCTGTGTAGTGTAGTGTGGACATGTTCTCATGGCTGTGAGACCTGGCTCTAGCAATTGTAAACCAGATTTACAATGCAGTGTGGATGCGCAGACATAGGCTTAAAAACACCAACTCCACAACCTGGTACCACAGTCCCAGGTATACAATACAGGGTGGACATTCCCTAGGAGTCATGGACTAGGACCTCACTGTACTAGGCACTGTATGAACACAGAACAAAGAGGGCCTCCACTATGTACATGTATATTTGTTTTTTGAAACATTAGTGCATAAGTTATAATATCTATATTCTCTCTCTCTGTCCCTATATATGTACACAGACGCACATTTATTCATTTGGATTTTAGTCTAAAAGAAACGCCAAAGCGAAAAGCAGCTATCTAGAGCTCTAGGATACCCTCAACTTATATTTAAAATCACCACTACTATAGGAGTCTGCAAAACATAAACATGTGCATTTATGTTAGACATGGGTCCAAGCAACAAAGTTCAGATCTAGAGCTGTCTCGTCCAGAGTGCTGAGGTGTTAAGACCTGCATTTTTGTTTGAACGTATCTCTGGTACAGTATATGCAGCATCTACGCATATAGTATATGTAGGTGGAGACTTTTGTTGGCACTTGTTTGAGACAATCTACATTATTTGCAGGTAGTATAGCTATGAGTGAGTTGTAGAGGTTATCCCAAGTTCCAGTGAAACTTTAGTACCACCATGTATCAATATGTATCACCCTATTTTAGGGCACTTACCTCTCACAATTTTTGTTTTTTTTCTTAAATATCCTTCTGCCTTTGTGATCAGATTGTATCAATTACCACGTACAGACTGTAGAGTGAAAGAAATAGTAGAATACAATTTAAAATTATCTAAAACCATGGTTCTCAACCAGGGGAACATGTACCCCTGGGGGTACTCAGAGGTCTTCCAGGGGGTACATCAGCTAGATATTTGCTTAGTTTTACAACAGACTACATAAAAAGCACTAGTGAAGTCAGTACAAACTAAAATTTCATAAAGACAATTAGTTGCTTATACTGCCCTATATACTATACACTGAAATGTAAGTATGATATTTATATTCCAATTGATTTATTTTATAATGATGTGGTAAAAATGAGAAAGTAAGCCATTTTTCAAGTGTGCTGTGACACGTTTTTATATTATGTTTGATTTCGTAAGCAAGTAGTTTTTAAGTGAGGTGAAACTTGGGGTACGCAAGAAATATCAGAGTCCTGAAAGGAGTACAGTAGTCTGGAAAGGTTGAGAGCCACTGATCTAAAATAACTTTCTATATATCAGTTATAAGGTCTGATATCTTGCCAAACATCAAGGCTAGCAACTAACATTATACAAGGAACGCCATCTCTCCAGTGAGATACAGCTTCAGAGTTTTAGCCCTGGCAGTTTATGGGGTATTGAAATTTAAATCTTAGTTGTTCTGGACTGAACAGTGTCAGCCATGGACTTTGGAACAGTATAATTCTAAATCTGTTTTGATATGATTTGTTTGGCATGACTTGGGGGGGAGGGGAGGGGTCGTGGGGAAGGCATGTTCTTTTCATGGCTCTTGCTCACTGTTGAAAAGCTGGTTAAGATTTTGGAATGTTACAAGATGATCAAGCTGAGATGCATTAATGAGCAAAGTGCAAGAAAAGAGGTCAAAGTTGCATAAGTAAATGTTCCACAAATTAGTAGTTTTGGAGGATTTACATAGTTGCAAATGTAAAGAAACATTTTCCATGGGTACAATGTACATGTGTGATCAGATCTAATCTGTTTATACTGTGCTCATCACCATGGTATCTGAATGCCTGTAAATAAATTTATTTTAGCACCAAAGAGGATATTTGCATGTTTGTCTTAAATTATTTTCACAGTCTCAGCTGACTTGTCCTTGAGGGTAATGCTACTTGACTTTTCTAGGACAAATAATCAACATTTTGGTTATTTTCAGAACAGTGAATACTGTGCAATATAATGCATAGTGAATATCTAAAGTTCTGTTATGTATACAGTAGGTGCTATTAGAATCCTATTTTTTTTTCAGGCAATTAAAAGTACAGTGTGAATGCCACAGTAGCATTATCTGCTCCAAAGGGCAATGTAAAGATTTTAATGATGACCACTGCATACTAATGTAAAATATACTCTCCTCATTTCAAATGATTTGGTGTATTCAATAAAACAAATAGGCAATAATAGAAAATATTAGATTGTATTCTATGTAATATTTATCCTGAAAGACTGTTTTATAAATATGTTTATCCAGAAGTTAGAAAGGTAATCATGTTATGGACCTAGATAAGGGTGAGCTAATCAAAAGTTGATAAATATTGACCATGTGTGCATGTTATGTTAAAAAGTCTAGGTAAGAATTTTCATACGCAGCCATACCTATCAACTGTGACAGGGTCAGGCCAGATGGCTACAGGAGAGTGATAGAAGGCAGCTATATTAGCCCCAGGTTAAGTAGGTCCCTTTTCCCTGGGTAAGGTAACAGGGAAGGTTCCTGAACAATCAGGAACTTTCCGGAAACAATTAAGGCAGACTGGCTGCAGGTGTTCTAATCAGCCTATCAAGAAGCTGCCAGAATCAATTAAGACAGGCAGGCTAATCAGGGCACCTGGGTTTAAAAAGGAGCTCACTTCAGTCTGTGGTGTGCGTGCGAGGAGCTGGGAGCAAGAGGTGCAAGAAGCTGAGAGTGAGAAGGCGTACTACTGGAAGAAGTACAAGCATTATCAGACCTCAGGAGGAAGGTCCTATGGTGAGAATAAAGAAAGTGTTGGAAAGAGGCCATGGGGAAGTAGCCCAGGGAGTTGTAGCTGTCACACAGCTGTTACAGGAGCCACTGTAGACAGCTGCAATCTACAGGGCCCTGGGCTGGAACCTGGAGTAGAGGGTGGGCCCGGGTTCCCTCCATCCCTTCATCCCCCCAACTCCCTACTTGATACCGGAGGAGTTGACCTGGACTGTGGGTTCCACCAGAGGGGAAGGTCTCTCGCCTGTTCCCCGATCCACTAGGTGGATCAGCAGAGACTGCGGGGATTGGTCTTCTTCCTTTCTCCATGCTGGCCAGTGATGAGGCTAACTGAGTGAACGGCAGATTTGAGCCACGAAAGTGGCCAAACTGAGGGCTGAACCTCTGAGGCGAGAAAATCCGCCAATAAGCGCTGGACCCACCAAGGCAGAGGAGGAACTTTGTCACACAACATGAACACAGTCTTCTCTAAGCAATCACAAGGAAAACAAAAAATGTGTTAATTGGAGGATTCTACTCAATTTTAATTAGAGCCATTCCCTTACTGAATTAGTTAATAGATTATTAAATATTACTAAGTAGTACTCACTCAAATACATTTCCTCCCTCATTAGTGGCTTCTAGCCACTAGCAATTATCTCATTACTTTACTTATAGGGTTTCACTCCTTCAGAGCTTAACTATAAATGCCATCTTTTCTTGTGTTACTGCTCTGAAGAGCAATAAAAAGATGTATATCTTCCACTATCTAGATTAGGAATTAAACCAATATCTTAAATGAGCTGTCCGGTGGCACCTTAAAGACTAACAGATTTATTTGAGCATGAGCTTTCGTGGGTAAAAACCTCACTTCTTCAGATGCATGGAGTGAAAGTTACAGATGCAGACATATATGTACTGACACATGAAGAGCATCTGTTAGTCTTTAAGGTGCCACCAGACTCCTTGTTGTTTTTGTGGATACAGACGAACGTGGCTACCCCCTAATACTTAAATGAGCTGTGTTGATGACAATAGAAATAGACACTAATTGTTAACTTTTTCTTTAGAAAAAATATATTGATAAGTGAATGAAGATTTAAAAAAAAAAATTTAACAGCCATTTCACTCCTACATACAGTCTTGGTTAAACAAAATATATTTGCAAACTCCTCCTTATAAATGACTAAAAGAACCCATAGTGGCGTGGTCATGGCATATAAAGCTAAACAAAAAAATAAGACTATTTAAAGAACACATAGAATCACAGAATTGTAGGACTGGAAGGGACCTCGAGAGGTCATCTAGTCCAGTCCCCTGTACTCAAGGCAGGACTAAGTATTATCTATACCATCCCTGACAGGTGTTTTCTAACCTGCTCTTAAAAATCTCCAATGATAGAGATTCCAAAACCTCCCTAGGCAATTTATTCCAGTGGTTAACCACTCTGACAGTTAGGAAGCTTTTCCTAATGTCCAACCTAAACCGCCCTTGCTGCAATTTAAGCCCATTTCTTCTTGTCCTATCCTCAGAGGTTAAGAATAACAATTTTTCTCCCTCTTCCTTGTAACAACCTTTTATGGACTTGAAAACTGTTATCATGTGCCCCCCCCCTCCCCTCTGTCTTCTCTTCTCCAGACTAAACAAACTCAATTTTTTCAATCTTCCCTCATAGGTCATGTTTTCTAGACCTTTAATAATTTTTGTTGCTCTTCTCTGGACTTTCTCCAATTTGTCCATATCTTTCATGAAATGTGGTGCTCAGAATTGGACACAATACTCCAGTTGAGGCCTAATCAGCGCAGAGTAGAGTGGAAGAATTACTTCTCATGTCTTGTGTACAACCTTCCTGCTAATACAGCCCAGAATCATGATTGCTTTTTTTGCAACTGTTACATTATTCACTCGTATTGAGCATGTGATCCACTTGTGATTTAGCTTGGGGAAATCTCAGCTCAGATTAACAAGGGTTGTTGCATGTCCACAACCCTTTTGTTGGAATGGCAAACTAATTAATGAGGTTGCACTGCCCAAGGGAATCTTGAGCAGTGCAAGATGGTATATTTCTGGGGTGCAAGCCGGGACTCTGGGGTGATTGGCTGGTGCCTCTCTCTGTAAGATTCATGAGTGGCTCCAGGAGCATTTATGCAATTTAGCTGAGTGTCGGGCTCCACGTGCTGATGACTGAGTGATCACAGTACCTGGAGAGGTTTTGCTGCTTGCCACTGGCATAGCATTGTGTGAGACAGCCCAGGCTGGAGAGTTAAGGGAGCACAGCAGTCCCATGGATCCTGGGGATCCCATCACACACACTTTCCCCTTTTTACCTATAGAGGGAGCTAGAGAGTTTCTATACTTAGCAACAGGTTTCAGAGTGGTAGCCCTGTTCCTCTGTACCCGCAAAAACAAGGAGGAGTCCCTTGTCTCCTACTCCTGTGTGTACATCAACTTTTTCCTCCAGGAGGTAGAGATAGTTGTTGGCTAAAGATTTTTTTAAATCTACCATCTGTACTTTATTTAGATTTGTTTCTGAATTTGTATACTTATATTCTCTGTAGATTGCACAGTGGTTACTTCCATTATGGTGATCAGACCCTGTTTATGTATAAGGGGCTTTTAAGTAAGCCATGTTTGAATGTTAATTTTATTTTAGCAGTAGGACAGTGCTAACATGTCCCCCCAGAGCAGTTGCAAGACTGTGGGTTTTTTTTTTTTTTATAGCCATGGGTCCTGTACTTTTGAAAGTACCCTTGTCACTCCTGGGGAGAAAAGGATGTGGATTATGAACTATTACACACATAGATGAGACTTGAGCATGCTTCCAAAGGGGTGGGGGGATATGTTTTTTTTTGTTTGTTTTTTTTGTAATGTCAAGAAAAAATAACGGCTAGAAACCCAAGAAAAGCTTGAGAAACATATTTAAAGGCTCCCTCCATGCAACTCCCATAGAGATATAATAAATATAATAAATGGATACCTCTTTCAAATGTCTTTAGTGGAAGTTTTGTGGCTACTGAATTTAACATGCAAATCCAGACACTGCAGGTTATGTTACCTACACAAAGTTCATGTTTCCTACATGTAGAAG